GAAAGATGGATACTGCGAAAATTCGAGTGATTTTTGAATACGAGTTCCGACGCGGAACTAACGCGGCAGATACACCCCGCAATATCAATGCTGCGTTTGGAGAGGGGTCTACTAATGAACGCACCGTGCGATTTTGGTTTAAACGCTTTCGTGAAAACGATTTCGAAATTTCGACTTAAAGAACGAGTCACGAGGAAGACCGCCCACACAGGTGAATAACGATGAATTAAGAGAGATAGTGGAAGCCGATCCTAGTCAAACTACCCAGGAATTAGCGGCATGGTTTAACGTTACCTTACCCACAATATTGACTCACTTGCGTGAAATCAATAAAGTAAAAAAATACGAAAAATGGGTGCCTCATGATTTGACTGATCTGCAGAAAGAAACGCGTGTTGAAACTTGTGTTGCCTTGTTGAACCGGTACAGAAATGAAGGAATATTGGATCGAATTGTAACATGTGATGAAAAGTGGATTTTTTATGATAACCGGAAAAGAAAAATGCAATGGCTGACCCCAGGTCAAATGCCACAACAGTGTCCTAAAGCAAAACTTACCAATAAAAAGGTAATGATAACTGTTTGGTGGTCTCAGCATGGTGTTATTCACTATAGTTTTCTCCGATCTGGTCAAGCAATAACGGCAGATGTCTATTGTGCCGAACTCCGAACCATGTTGACAAAACTAGCAGTAAAACAGCCCCGACTCATGAATCGATCTTCACCATTATTGCTCCACGACAACGCGAGACCTCACACAGCACGAGAAACCATTTTGACCCTTCAGGAACTGCAGTTAGAAACCATTCGTCATCCTCCGTATTCACCAGACCTTGCTCCAACGGACTACCATTTTTTTCGTGATTTGGACAATTATCTACGTGACAAGAAGTTTTCTTCCCAGGAGGCAGTACAAAATGCTTTCACACAGTTTGTGCAGTCTAGATCGTCGGAGTTCTATCGCAAAGGCATTAATAACCTTCCCATTAGATGGCAGCAATGTATAGATAATAATGGCAACTATTTTGATTAAATAAATTTGTTAAAAATTTAAAAAATAAACAATTTAGATTTTCAGTACAAATCGGCAATTTCATACTTTAACCCATATTATTTTTACGGGCATATAAAATATTTGAGTAAATGTACTGTGATGCCACAGTCATGATACCAGTCTCCTTAAACTTTTCTCTGAGAGATACCCGAGAGCCTAGACGGTACACAGAACGAATCGCTCGTTTTTGCAATACAAATATGGTTTGAATATCTGCCGCTTTACCCCACATGAGAATCCCGTAGGACATTATACTATGGAAGTAACTAAAGTAAACTAGTCTAGCAGTACTAACATCGGTAAGCTCACGTATTCTGCGGACTGCGTATGCAGCGGAGCTTAATCTGCTGGCCAGGGACGATATATGTGGAAACCACTGAAGTTTACTATCTAAGGTCACTCCCAAGAAGACTGCTTTATTAACAACTTAATTTTGATTGTGAGACCACGCTACTCTGGTCAGGAAACTTCACCATTATGGTGTGGCGGGACGTAACCTCGATGTTCTTAAATCGTGTGTGTATATATAATATTATATATATATATAATATTCATAAATGTATTATATTAATATATTCATGGAGGGTATAAAACATCTCCCCCGGACGGCGGTCATCGCGTACGCTCCGGCGCAGACGTACGGGGAGAAGGCGAAGGCAGTTCGCTGCTCGCCTGATCCCCTAGTGAGACCAGCGGGCTCTGGACAGGGACTCCGGAGCCGCGTGCGCGTCCGCCGCGTCCTCGCGCACCCGCTCCGCGGCCTCCTTTTGCGACATAACCTCTGTGCAAAAGGAGGCCACCGCCTCCCAGGACTCCTCGCTATCGAGCATGGCGGCAACCACGCTCGGCAACGAGAGGTCCTGCCCTATAGTCCCCGTCAGAGTGCGGCGCTGCTCATCCCACCGGCTACACACCTCTAGGGTGTGCTGCGCGGTGTCATCCGCAGCGCCGCACTCGTGGCACGACGGGGACGGTTCCCTCCTCAACAAACAGTGGC